TTATTGCCACCGTTTTGGTCACTGACTAGAGGGCTGTCATCATCATCGCAGACAACCATTTGTAGATCATTGCCATCGCCCGACACGTTCACCACAATCTGGACCATCTCAGCGTCGCTCGTCATCTCCGCCAATGTCTTGTCGTCGATTTGAATGGTCACTAACTCGCTGTCCGATTGCGGCGACTCTTCGGCGCGACTATCGCCACATCCATCGATGGTTTGCGACTAAAACGGATTCAATTAAAACTCATTTTTGCAAACTTCGAGTCAACAGATACTACACAAACCTCTTGGGAATCGCTTTCTTGCATCTGATAACCACTGCTTTTAAACAACTGAATCCAGTCTTCTTTTGTCATATTCTCGGACACGCCCTCCACATAGATCACCGAATTGTCGGCCGGTTGGCTCTCATCTGGTCCACCACTCAAAGGGCTCACATTCGCGCCATCGCTGGAATCGTCGACAATCACATCATTCATCTCATCCACTATTGACGTCTCGATGATCTCTCCCATGGCTTCGGTCAGTATGTCTTTCTTGCCGGACGGGGATTGAGAGTTAGGCCTCACCAGTGGCGGCACATCACTCGCGAACGCTTTCAGAGATGAAAACAATTTACTAAATGTCTTAAACATCGGATCATAAACTTCTAGTGAATTTCAAATTCAAAGAATACTAAGCAAACAGTGAGTCAATCGAGTATTCATTAGATCTCGCGATTAGTCAACAATTCAATGGATATCTCGAGACAAACATTATTTCATATAATTATATACAAAACAAAAACGAAATCAAAATCATAATTATCTCATTGACCACTGCTTTCACCATTAAACCAAACAATACTTACAATCACTTCTATCACCAATTGGTCTCTCAATACCAGTCATATTAGTGGCCATAAGCGCCGTATTGTAAGCATTGGCTGAGTTGGGGGTCGGGGTGTCCGGCGAGTCGTCATCATTAGAGGACAGGAGTCGCTGCAGAATCTCAGTCTTATTACTGTCGCCGACGCCAGGGTTCCGATTGGCCGTCCCTTTCGATACATTAAATTCGTTAGACTTCTGGGAGCCGAAGATCGTCCGGTGCGGCGGCGACGGTGTCTTTGCCGTACCGCCGCTTAAATACTGCTCCACCAGTTGTTCCCTGTTATCACTGGTCGGCATAATCTGTCAAATGACAGGTAACAAAACAATTAATTCAATTCAAAAATGTACAAAATGTCATACTTTATGACTTCCGGTAGAGATAACTAAAACTAGAGTATAACTACCGGTTAACTACACATAAATTAAACGACATTTTATTATACCGTACTTTAAGCAAACTATTAAGAGTACCTAGGAATGTTCTTAAGCTAATTAACTGCTTAAACTGTTTAATTATAATTGCATTTTCACATAAATCCCGAGTCTAACGTACAAAACACACACAAACCTGTGGATTATAGCCCCTAAACGCCATATTAAAGTTGTGTGCATCGGGACGGGTGTTCATAAGGGAACTGTCTGTCAGTGGAGGCTGACTACTGTTCATGTGTTGCTGGTATGCTGACGACTGTTTAATCTTATCTCGAATGCCGGTCGACTGTTTGGGCTCAACGGTGATCCGTTTCTGGTGTAACTCCAGTGGCGGTGACGGCATATACGGCGCTCTCATCTGCTGGACATTGGGCGCCATTTGTTGGACATTCATGTGATTGATATGAGCGGTGGGGGCTGTGGTGATGGGCACCGGCGCTGCTAATGGCTGTCCGTACGTGACGGGCGTGGGGCCGTCCGATGGGTACGGGTATTGCATGCGCGGGTGTCGGGGCGTTCCTCGTATCATATTCTGGTGCGACATCTGCTGCTGCAACGGTTGGCCAAACTCGGATCTCATGGGCGACACGGCGCCGGTAGTGTATTGCATGTGAGGTCTGTCGTAGGGACTGTTAATGCGTTGTTGGAAACGACCCGACATTTGAGGCATCGACTGGTGAGATAACTGGGAACTGGAGGGCGGCATTGAGCGTCTCTGCGACGGGTATGGTGTGTGCTGATACTGCATGGGCCCCGTATTGGCACCCATGGGCGACATATTCGCCGGTATGACCAGTCGCTGTCGCATGTCGGGGCTCGTCAGTGAGGTATACGTGTTGGCGTCCGGTCTCATGGACTGCATTTGCGATCGCATGAAGTTCTGAGTCGACGGCGGCATACGGTTTGGTATCATTTGCGAGTTGCGGTGAATCTGATCCGGATATAAGTTCATTTGGGGAATGTATTGCTGGGAACGGCTCTATAAAAAGGCATAAAACAGTTATAAAACACATCACAAAAATAGGCCTCAAAAACCTGAGTTATCTGTGTCTGTGTTGCGGACATCTGCTGAGGAATGGAATGCGAAGACATTGGAGACATTTGGGTCATAGACGGCGTCCGCATCAGCGTCTGTATCGATGGTATGGTTGTGGGTGTGGTGGGAGGGCGGCCGGCGGCGCGCATGAATTGACTGTTGGCGCCGTACGGCATGATCGACGACATGGATGGCAAACGGGTGGGCCTGGGAGGCGGCTGTGGGGTCCTGTGGGTGGCGTAAATCGGGTGATTCGTTTGGGTCAGTATCGGCCAACTGGAGGCGTCGGCCACTTGCAACTCAGTCACGGGGATCGGGTGCTGGTGGGGCGCTATAGGCCTCAGCGACGGCGACGACTGCATCGACATTAGGCTCGAGTTCATTGTGATGGTGGACGATGTCGTGGACATGGGATAGCCCTGCGTGTGCACCGGTATGTTATCGATTTTATCCGCGTCTCCTAATTACACAAAATTCAATTTCAATTGAAACAAAAATCGCTTAAAACACGTGACAAACAAATCAATGCTTACTGTGATTGAGGTTAATGTTAACGATAGCGCCGGCGTCTTGCGCTGAGCTCAACATAATGTCGCTTAAGATGTTGGACGTGGTCTGGAGCTCACAGTTGGCGGTTGTGGTGATCGTGTGGGCCATTGGTTGAGCGTATGAGGGATGAGTGTGTGGTATGGAGTGGTGGTGCGGTCGCATCGGTGGCGCCATAGCCTGTGATTGAGTGATGGGTGGCTGCATGGGTGCCATCATTTGGTTAGCATTGCGTGGTTCTCGCGATTGCGGGTAACAGTCGGCGATATTGATCACCCGATTGTCTCCATAACCCGACGGTGGCGACCAATTGGTCGGCTGAGGCACTGGCGGTGGCATTGAGCGGCTGTCCGACGACTGGTGCATGTCTTGTGTGCCATTAAACAGGTCTCCAGTGACTGTCGAGTGAACGGAAAAACAAATGAATTTTCATAAAACAAACAAAAGTTTAGTGAATATCAAGAAATTAATGTCAAAAAAAAGACAAATAAAAACATGAAACGAGAGTTTATGTGCAAATCATGCATTACTGTAGCCTACAGTCTGTAGGTATTGTAAAATAAAGCACTTTTTCATCTCATTCTCGTATGAAATCAAATCAAAAATCAAATCAAATACCTATTGAACTGTAATCTAATAACTCATGCGATTTATCGCCAATAGACTGATA